TGCTTGCATGTGCCTAGGACAAGTGTATTGTTTATTTATTGGACATGAATAATTTGGGTTCCGAAAGGGAATGTTACCTCAATATTCTCATTGTGCAAACACACAATGTGTCTATAGGACCAAGGCGACAGTACTAGTAAAGTCTTTCAATGAGCCTTGTTCACGAAAGCATGCAACACAGATCACAAACTAGTTAATTACCGAAGCAGCTGATTTTAAAAATCAAACAATTCATTGATACCCAAGAGGAATAACACGGGGAAGTAGAAATCTCTCAAAAAATAAATATGACATGTATAAATACAGACAGGAAAACAAAAGTTTTCTGTGCTAAATGCAGAAAACGAGTTAGTGAAGATTATAGGGATGTTTTGAGAGAACAATGTAGATCAATGTGAAGGGTAATACGTTGTTGACATATTACATATTATTTTCCAAATTTTAAATGTAATAATTAATTTATAAATATCTATAACACCAATACAAACATCTCATATTTCGTACTCTTTCTAAGTTTTGCTCATTGGTTCTAAGCTATTTTCAATAAATTGTTTACTTATTTTTGTGTGAGACTGTTAGAAAATTAAAAACGTACTGAATTGTTTAATACTTTTGTCGTCGAAATATTCAGAAAAATGTTAATGGAGTCACTACATAAAATAAAAGATAAATGCCAAGTTTGTCCTTTAATATAAAATATAAATAATAAATAATAATATTTTTTAATTCTTCAAATCATGTTTGTTTATAATACTACAATATGTTAATACTACCTTACAAATGATTGATCATCATTAAAATAATTAATTTCACACTTATTTGTTGCCAAATATACTATTATAAAGAAATAACTTAAAGAGGTCAGAAATGACATCGCGCCACCTGTAACGTAACTCCGGCAACCCCACTTCATTATATGCACATTTACAGCAATTTGTAAACATTAATGTATTTCTGAGTTGAAGTGCTTCAAAAGACTTCTAATGAAGTTTTTCAAAAATTCAAAAGTTTTCTGTAAAAAAAAGCTTGAAATTTCGAATTTACAGTAGCGTTTAAAGATATTTTCTTATAAAGAGCTCCAAATTTTTCAAAGTAAATTGCCATTTAGGACCTAATTTTACCGTAATTTAAAAAGCTTTAAATATTTTTCCGTTCTACTATTAGAAAACCGAAAAATTAATAAAATGTCCAAAAAACGCACTTTAGGTGGACATAGACTGGCAAGACCGAAAAGCTAGCCGAACCCAAAGTAAATAGAAAACTAATATGGGCAATTCTATGCATCCTGCAGTACCACTGTTTGTTTGTTGCTTTTTTTTGTTTGTTTGTTTTTTTAATTTCCACAGACCAGCATAACTGCTTTACAGGGATTGTTTTCATACAATAACAACTTAAAATACAGGTATACAAATAAATAAGACAGCAGAATACCTTTCAGTCAACATTTAAACAAGTATCACATTCATAAAAAAATACAATCATTCTTTAGATAAATAGAAATAAGGGCAGCCTAACAAGTTTCTCATTTTGTTTGTTTTATCTTTTAGAAGTAAGTTTGTGGATTATTCTTTGCATTGTTTATTCTAATTCTGAAAGATTTAAGGGGGGTCAGCAAATTGTATTAGATTTTTATCATATGGAAATCCGTTTTTGATTCGGAATGTTGTTGCTGATGAACCAAGGTTGTAGTGGCCAGTTGTTGGTATATTATGCAAAGATGTGAAAAAGGAATGTGCGCGTTTAAGCAGTATATGATGTATAGTTTCTGTTTTTAATTCTAGTGTAATTGATGGTTTCTAATGAACAAAGGGGCATTTACAGCTATACGTAGAATCTTATTTTTGTTCTTTGACTTGGGGCAATATCAGTGGCTTTCCACATGCCTGTTCATATTGTTATTAACTATATTTAACACTTGTTTACAACAATTTTGGTGTAGAGTAGGAATTGCTAAGACCGCCATTTTACAAAGTACATTCTTCTTAACTTCCGCAGGGCGTTCGTAAAAGGGAAAATTCTGAGAATCGAATCCGCATAATCGGTCTGCGACAATTTTTTTTACAGATTATTTTTAGTATTCATTTACGGTAAATAGTCGCGTAGAGCATGCATAGTTATGGCTGATGGTTTAGGAGGAACAGGCTTCTTCACATGTTCAGAGCTCTTGTAAGAGGGCGAAATCTGGGATTCGAACCCGAATAATATAACCTAACCGGTCCGCGGCAATATTTTTGGTAAAAATTTTATTTAATACGTATTTGAATCAAATTTTGGCGTAGTGCATACATTGTTATGGCTGATGGTTTAGGAGTAATGGGCTTCTTCACAAGTTCAAAGCTTTTGTAAGAGGGCGAAATCTGGGATTCGCTCCCGGGTAATTGAATCGAACCAGTTCGAGGCAACAGTTTCGTTTAGAGATTATGTTTAGCACTGGTTTACGGTAAATGTTGGCATAGAGTATGAATTGGTGCGACTGATGAATTACAGGGGACGTCTCGTTTCTTCTTCTACGGCGCTGACAAGAGGAACGTAGCTTTAATTTTTTGGTTTTTGTTAATATTTTTTTAAAGAATGGAGATATCAGTTTGATTTCTTCACCACTAGTTTATAAATAAAAGCGGCAAATTTGAATTACAGTTTTGTGTATATACTTTCAATATTAGCTGATTTAGAGGTGTGGTCCTTCTAACTTCTATTGGAAGTTAGCATGAACACCGCTTTTTTTAATGACGCCCGGCAAATTTTTCTTTTCCACATCTTAAAAACGGCAAAAAAGCGGCAAATTATGGACTATGAAGTTTTATGATTGGATGAAATGGTCCAGCTAACTTCCAGGACGGGGGAAGAAATTAATTCGATCATCTACCTATGTAACTAATGTCGACACTCCGTCACCATAGGGTGTCGATCCCCTGAACTCCCAGCCAGTCACGCCGGGCTAGCAACGGAAAAGCTGCCACAGACATCGCAGTCGCAGTCTATCCCCATTCCAGCTCTCGTATTTTTTTTTGTCGTTAACGCCGCAAGTTGATTATCCAGAAAATTGAGCTGTCCTGCGTCAGTGCAGCCATCTGTGAAAGGTTCATTACGCCCTCCACCCAAACTGCTGTTATTTCGTGCATCCCGCTGCGTTGACCGCTTTCGCAACTAGAAATTTGGAACCTTCATAGCGCGCTTTCACTCTCCAAATTACTCGTATCCGCGTTAGAACACACGACACTCAGGGAGAGTAAACGCAAGATATAGTTTTTTGAGATAATTTCCTTCCGAACCCAACATTCACAATGTTACGCAATTATATAATTTTTGACAGAGCATGCAACTCCAACAACTTCACCTTTTCAAGCCCTAAATTCAAGATTGTCCCCCATTTCTATCCCTCTTAAGATCACTACAATATATTGCATTTTTAATGCAAAGGATCATCTAAAAACGAAGTTATCAAATCTAAGATAACGTAATTAACACATGCGATCTGCTTTCAAAATAAAACTGTTAAAAATCACCCACGTCCTTATGTCCACGGCAGAGATAAAATTCCAGTCTGATTGTGTCCCCATTAGCTGAAGAGTCTCTTCGACGCAGTTACCGGGAAATTTCTCTAGTTTTTTTTCCCATCATTTATAATTATTTTGATTCACACCAGATAGATATATTACAAATAAATTCAAGAAATTACCCCAGCGAAGAAGAAACAAAATTAATAAAATTGAAATACAATAGATGAGTGAAGACAATTTATTATTATTATTATTATTATTATTATTATTATTATTATGGTTGTTGTTGTTTTATACGATCTTCCAAGACACGCCTTTTAATGTTACTAGAATAATTTCACCGTAAAATAAATCCGTAAACATCACCATTAAATGACATGACTAATTGTTATTATAAAAGCAAACCTCGAGGTGTTTTAAACGACTTGCTCCAATTTGGATCTGCACAAAAGTTATAAATTATATGTTATGTTTAAAAAGCTTCCAAACGTTGCGAAATTAAAACGAAATACTATAAACAAAAATCTGAAGTGCGTCAGTGTTAGTTTTACGTGAATCACGGATTGCTTCTGAAACCTTGTATTTGATCCCCACAAACTCAAACACTAAATTCCATTGACCCTTACAAGGTAGTCGTTATCGATATGTGACTTATTTGTATCCATGCGAACATCCATAAATGCAATGTAATGCAATACGAACATTCTCTGACAAATTCACGACTTCTCCCCAAAAGTAGACACGTGTCCTTTTTTTTTATTCCTCGTTATTTGGCCACAAAATCGAATACCTCTACATTAATCACGTTTGAGAATGAACAGCGAATGACATTTGCTTCTATATCACATAAAATAATTAATAAGATTTAGAGACTCAAAAATTAATTTTCTTCGCTGAAATTAATTGAATCGTCTAGAATAATTGCCTTGAAAGAAGAAAGGTGGAACGACTCTCCTTTCCCAATCCTTCTGCAAACGAATGTCAGAGCAACAAATATTGACTTAAAAAATAAATAACATTGCGTGCTTCACTTTTCATTCCTTCTGAAAATCGACCGGCGACAGTTAATTTAAAGTGAATATTTCTTTTCCTGCATCTTATAAAAGTTGGTTCATGATGTATCCTCAAACATAGGAAAGCACCAGACACGTATTTTCAATTGTAGACGCAGGTAGAATTATTTTTCTGTTCACGTCCAGATATGAAGCAAGAATATAGAAATAATATTTTTCATGTTTTTACAAAATATTCTAAATTCAGTTGACATAAATATTTAATATTATTATACAACACAATTGAGAAATAGGTTAAAATGTGCACATCCTCTCGAGTATACAAAATCTGTTGTATTTTCATTTTAACGTTGTGAAAAAAATTCTTTTTCGTCACAGATGTCGTCGGCCTTTGGTGACCTTTTGATGGATTTGAAATAAAATAATATACACTAGTAACACTTCATATAATATAGACACTCACTATACGTTTCACGTTACGGCATGTGGTCTGTAACGGTCTTTAATATTTCAGTGAGTGAAAATGAGTAAATTCGCACTTCATTCTGTGAAGACCTCGGAATGCAGTCCTGGAAATACTTCTCTTTGACAATCCAATCAATATGGTCAAAAATGTATTGCAAATAAAAATGGAATGGGAACTTACTTGATAGCGTATATCGTTGCAGGTAGAATCTGCGGTTTCTTACCTGCAACACACAAATATTCATCATAAGGTTAACATTGAAATGTATATTTGTGGAAAGATAAACTGAAAAATAAGAAATAATCAGTCAAACAAAAAAGAAAAGTGCTCACAGATAAAAGATAGATTGTTTCTTCAAAAAGAACACATTAATTATCATATCCCAAGTTATATATTCTACACTATTTGGAATTACCGCGAAGTGAAACATGCAAAATGCTCAGAAAATGCAATTTCATCGTGACCCCTTCATCTCAAAATAGCCATCACCAGTAACCCACAATTCTTAAACGAAATGTTAAGGCCAACGAGCCTGCAAAATCAAATTCTGATGAGAATAAAAAAGAATAT